CAAGAGCTTGCAGCTGCTACTCAGACTTTGTAAAACGTCACCAATGTCTGAGCAGAAAGTTGATGAGCCAGGGTTATGTCAAGGAACCTTGTTGATAAATATTCCGTATCAACTTCACAAATAATACACCATGTTCTTGATAACGTGTTATAGAGTTCTTTTATTTGTCTTTGTAAATTACTTCTTTTACTGTTAAGTCTATTTTTGGTAATATCCATTTGACGTGGCTATTAATTATTAATTTAAATGCTTGTAAGAAATTGACATTATATCTACAGTTGATGGAAGTTAATAATGATTAAATCCCCTGTTCATTATATGCCGTTTGTGTTTTTGTCTCTTTTAAACTTAAAGCCAAGAAGCTCATGCATACAAACTTTGTTATTGTTTACAGTTATAAAAAACTGCTCAAATAGAGAAATGTTGTTTAATTTGCGATGTCATTAATCATCAAAACTGTTTCCCTAAAGGATTCCTTCAATCATTGGCGAAATTTACACAAATCGTTCATGTGCAAATTTCACTAATCAGGAATCACATATGTCAAATACATTATAATAATATTCATTGTGTGAGTAAAACAAACAGACATACATTGTAATATGTGGATTAAACAGTCAGCATTGTGTTATTATCTAAATCACTATTAAAACAAACAACTATGCCAACAAAGAAAAACCAAATGACTTTTAGACTCTCTATAGACAAAGCACATAAACAAAAATGAAAGACAAGAATACAAAAATTACCATAGCACAATATCACAATGATTGCATGTATAAATACCGAAGCATGCCAAAAGGATATTACCAAAAATAGACAGTAGAGGTTAAAAATATACATCGACAAATACAAAGAACACATGTGAAACAATTGAAAATATCAACCAATTTAAAAAACATTGTAATGAAACTCAACTCTTTGAAAAACAATATGTACTTACAATAGTACTTTTTGAGTAATACAATTTTCAGATTTTTTAACCATTCCAATCAATGTCATCAGCCAAAATGTTGAGAAAATTGGTGGAGTTACAAAGAAATGATTTTACCAAAGATATGTACATCCCATATCATTGTTTTTTTTCTTTTCAAGATTCTTCGATATGTATATTTTCAATAATTTATAATAAAAAACTTGAAATATAATGCCTTTTGTTCTAAAAAAAAGAGAAAAATCCAAAATTTACAAATTGACAGCAAGGTCAATTTGACACGAAAAAGCAACAAAATTTGATAAATCTTTCTAAAATTTACACAAACCTATATTTTTTAAAATGTTAAATTTATTAAGATTAGTCAACTTCATCTTTACTGAAAGTAGGGCAAAAAAAGTTTAATTGTAAAACTGTGATTTTTTTTCTTGATAATAGCCCAAACATGAGTGAACATTGGTGAAAAATGGGAAAATCATGAAAATGGGGTACTTTCTAATGGCCTTTGCAAAATAAAAAGTGCACCACTATATGATGTTCTTCTTCATCAATTACTTTCTTACAGTCATATATAAACCCAAAAATCAGATTAAGAAATAAATGTTTAATTCTTGAAAATTTTAACTACTTAGAGGTATACAACCTTTAGGTGTAGTACCACCAAATTATAGTACGTCACATCCGGTTGCATACGAAAAAAGGGTAGAAAAATATATTCCCTTGAATTTGATAGTTGTAGGTAATCAATCCTACATTTCATTGCAGTAAAACATTTCTGGGTCATAAACATATATCTTGGGTATTTCAAAGAACCACTATTTTCTTATTTGGGGTTTCTATAAAATATTTTGGAAACTCGACGTTACATGGTTACTAAAGCTTGAACAGGTAAAAAAGAGGTGAAAATTTGATTGGTTAACTTCCAGTGATGGTTATTTTCTTATATGCAACGAAATGTTATGTGAAAATTTGTCTATAGTACTGGACAGGATAAAACTTTACTCATGCCAAGTGTTTTCTTTATTTGAAACAAAGATACATTCTGCACATTTTTTTGAAAAAGTGCAAATTTAACAAAGATTAATAGGGGAAAATCAATGGTGGTATTACACCTAATATTGGAAGCTGCACATGCACCTTTGACCTTGTGAGTACTCTCATTTGTTAAAATTTCTAGCTATTTAAGTGAAATATTACAAACAAAAAAAGAAATAATCTGAGTGGATTCAGCCTCAAAAACACATTTTATGAGAAAATTTCCTTGAAATAGGACTCTACCATGAATATTAGTAGACAGAGCAAGCCATACTCAGTGTTTTGGAGAGCCTTTTCTCCTTATTTCTTATATCCTGCTATAAAAGAACACTTTTTCCTAAGTAATACTTTAATAAATGTATAGTTATAAGTAAATGAAATTATTTTTAAAGCAGTAACAACAAATTATTCACTAAAAGAGAAGCTTTTTATGTCCATCTCTGGAACGCAGCTTAAATTTAAGTTTTTCGTGAGGACTTATTGAAACCTCCTTGGAGACAGTAAACTTTTATATGGATAGTTCATTCAGCTTGAATACTTCAATTACTCATTTATTATAACATTTCTATCATAAATGAGTGAAAGTTACCCCAAAATTATTTTTATTTATTTGCCTAAAAGTTGAAATTTTGAGGAAATGAGATGTAAACATGGACCAAAAGAGACCTTATAATGAAGACAAAGAGGTCCATTAATGGTATTTATCAACCTAAAGTCATCTTTTGTTTCATATTCAACTGTTTGTAAGCAGATAAGATAAATATTTGATCATTTATTGATCCACACTATATTCTATCATGATGCGGCTTGATTTGGATTTTTCGACGAAATTTTGCTCCACGTCTTACATTATACTAGATTTTTCTCAAACTATTAACTGATTATGACAAAACTTGACAGTAATGCTTTAAATAACCAGTATTACAAAGGAAAAAAGTCACATTCAGTTTATTTAACAAAAAAGTCTTCTTTAGGTATAATACCACCAAATTATAGTACGTCACATCCGGTTGCATACGAAAAAAGGGTCGAAAAAAAATAATCCTTTGAATTTGACAGTTGTAGGTAATTAATCCTACATTTCATTGCGGTAAAAATTTTCTGGGTCATAAATATATATTTCAAAGAACCACTATTTTCTTATTTGGGGTTTCTATAGAATATTTTGGAAACTCGAGGTAACATGGTTACTAAAGCTTGTACACAGGTAAAAAAGAGGTAAAAATTTGATTGGTTAACTTCTAGTGATGGTTATTTTCTTAAATGCAATGAAATGTATGGGAAAGTTTGTCTATAGTACTGGACAAACTTTACTCATGCCAAGTGTATTCTTTATTTGGAACAAAGATAAATTCTGCACATTGTTTTGGAAAGTGTAAATTTAACAAAGACTAATAGGGGAAAATCAATGGTGGTATTACAACTTAAGATGAAAAATAACGTCAGCATCTAATATCTATCAAATACTTTAAGACCATCATGTATTATTTGTGAATTTGCTAATGAATATTTATCTACAAGGTTTTGGTATATATCGATGATTTTGTTTTAGAATCAGGACGAGAAGTGTTTTGGCATAACCCTGGTTCATCAACTTTCTGCTCAGACACTAGTGACGTTTTATAAAGTCTGAATTGCAGCTGCATGCTCTTGAATACCGAATGAGTTGGGAAATGTATATCACATAGGCATGATTCTGTTAATGAGACGACCGCTTATGTCAAATTCGAGGTATAAGTCTACAAATGAGGCGGTGGAAGCCGTGTCTTTTGTTTTTTTAATTTCTAGTTCTGATGGATATATTAATGGAACCCAATAAAAAAAAGTTGGATTGTTAATAAAAAGAACATCATCAATATATCTGAATGTGAAATTAAGGATTAAGCAATTTCTTCCTTTCAAATGTCATTAACATATCGCTTGTGATTTCCGTTAGATTTAATCGAAACTTTAATGGAGTATCAATAAAAGATATGCAAATAGCCTAGGAGAAAGTTTTTTTTAAAATTTTTTGCCAAACTTATTTGTGGTCTATCATGGTAAAACAAGGACATAGCTATGTGTGTGTGCTCTTCATATAGATCCTTTTCGAGTAGCACCACCAGGAGGTATTTCGTAAAGAAAACATTTAACACAAGGAACAGGTATAGATTAATGTTATAATTTGCATATCTAGATCTCCATTTAGGCTGTGATACCGAAACCTTCCAATTTTGTGTTTGTGTGCACTGAAATCTGTTTTGGTAGGGATGAGCAGGTTCGACATCCAGAACCCCACCCTTTTCATATACCGGTATTTTGAATATTAAACAAATACATATCATATCATATATTTGTTATTTATTGTATAGTTATCATGATCATCTGTGTTGAAAATTGCAAAGATTAATAATTAGTTATCATCCCTCCAAAATGGTATGGGGTTCGTCTAATAATAATGATAGATTTTTCTTAAATTTTGCGCTGTTGATCTCTTCAATATGTTTATTAAAAATAAAGATAAAAAAGTTGAGGTTACCGGTCATTTAATTCATCAGCTCCAGAAAAGAAATCGTGTCATAGCTTCTTTTGTATAGTTATATCAGGGCAATTTCCTGTTTTTCTTTTCCGATCAAATTTTTAGTAAGAAATAAATGTATTGTTATGAAACTTGTATTATAATATTCTATTCAGTTTGAAATGTGCCTAGTTTAAAAAGGCCAATTATAATTAGGAATGTATACTTGGTTCCAAGGATTATAACCAAATGCTAATCGGTCAGCAGCAATTTCAAGAAAAAGTTTAACAAGCCATAAAAATGTAAGAAATAGTATAACGAGCCAGGTGTTCCTGCTTGGAAAGTAAAAAAAAGGCTTCTTTTTTCAGAAGATTCTGCAGAAACAAATAGGAGGGTCTAGATGGGGATAGTATAATGTGCACAATAAATAAAGAAAAGAGAAGAAAAAACAAAACAATAAGGAATTTAAAATAATGGGGTGTTAAATTATTAAACATTCAGAATAATGCGGAAAACAAATAAAGAATAGAGAAAATGGTATACCAGTTAGAAGAGAAAGAAATGGAGGACCCTCTAGATAGGGAAGGTAGTTTTGTATAATAGTTTTGTATAAAGAGACTTAATTTTTTTTAAAAATGTTGATACAGGGAAATGTTCTAAACTTTAACGGTGTGCATGATTGACCAATAATGGCTGGACTACCAGAAGAAACAGAATAGTCGAAAAAAAAACACAAATAAAAAATAGAGAAAATGGTATACCAAGTTAGAAGGGAAAGAAATGAAGGACCCCTAGATAGGGAAGGTAGTTTTGTATAATAATTTTGTATAAAAAGATTCAATTTTAAAACAAATGTTGAAGAGTCCATACAGGGAAACGTTCTAAACTTTAACAGTGTGCATTACTGATCAATAATGGCTGGACTTTCATACGATGTGTTAAAAAATTCATGTTCTTGGCCAAATAACATTCATTTGTATTTTTATTATGTCAGGGAAAAAGGACCCAAATTCACATATTCCATGTGGATATTACCATGTGAAAATGAAAATTATGAGAAAGTTCCTACCTTCACGATATGTTCCCCTAGAAATTTATCAAATGGTCTTTCTCTTATGGAGATGTAGACAACACAGCTGAACTCTTAGGTCCAGAAATTGTCAAATATCTTTCACAAGTATTAAAGTACTATAATCTATGATAATACTTCAGACTCGGAAGTGTCAGTTTTTTGGTTCACGGATTTTGCTTTGAATCATTTCCGCTCATTTTATGCGTGCAAATGATTTTTTTGGGGTTATCAACCGCTCTATTGTGCACCTGAATTTTGTTCATTAGCAAACGATTTTTAAACTTACTTTACAGTATTTCCCCTTTTGTTTACATCCATCTTTCTCATATTTACAAAATCTTTTCCAGTGTGAGACTAGTGTGAAACTGCTTCATAAGCAGTATTGATGAAATAAAGTTAACGTGTTCGATTATTATGAATTATCATGTCTTTATCTCTTCTCCTGCGCCAAGAAAACATCCTCCTTTAAAAAAAACGGAAGTGCTTTTGCAACAATGAAAATTGCAACAATAAACTTCATAAAGTTAGGAAATTGCAGTGCAGATTTCAATAATGAAATATCTTTAATGTATTTATATAAAATTGATTATTTTAATAATCAAAATTCGTTGAAATGGCTAATAATGACAATAAGCATGACTTACGATCTCATTACGCAACCTCCTGCGTAGACGGTGCGAAAAGTCAAACCCCCAAGCTACCTTAAACGGATAGTTGTGTAATTCTATTTAATTCATCAGAATTACATAACGGTAATTTGGCTTGCACATTGGAGTAGGTATTTATATATTCCTAAGAAAACCTAAGTACATGGTAGAATCCATTTATCCACTAGTACAAAAATATGACTTTTCATCACCCAACGTCAACCGTAGTTTAAATCACTATCTGAAGCAACTTTACATCTTTCGAAAGTTACCAGTTGCATACATTAAAAATGTGTCGTATCAGGTTTTCTTGGAGTTGAACATTGACAATCACAAACAATAGTTGGTCATTTCTTGGAGTCGTAATTGGAATTATTAATTTTGAAATTAATTTTGCACGGATTAATAGTTTGAAGAATTACCATTTTCTTGGAAAGATTCGACATTTGGAGATCATATAACTCAATGTTATTTAAGATTATTTCACACCAAGCCATCATGATGAACTGGAACAAATAAGGAAAACCAAAATTGACCTTGAATAGTCAATTGCACTTTGTTGAATATAAATCATAATCAATTTGTTTATACAAAAAATCAATCCTATGTTGCTCGTTAGCCGGTAAAATTTAAAGGTTATTAGTTCATTAATATACTCTTGCAATAATATATTCTTTGGAAATGCAACCTAACATTACCATTTCCATGACCTGAAAATTCTAAAATGTCCAAATACCTGATGTTGTGAGCCTTTCTTGAAAAGTAATATGTTTGATTTTAGTCAATCTGGCAAATATGTAGCTTAACGGCGCGAATATGTTTTCAGCGCTTTATGGCTTTTATTTGTTTAATGATGGTTGAATAGGGTATATGGGACACAATGATAAAGAGTACTTGTATAGTACCATATGGATCAAGAACAGTAATATTATTAAATTGTATTATAAACAGACACCTTGGTTAGTCTAATTAATGTCTGCATATTTAACGTACATCGTAAGCCTGTTTTCAAAAGTATGTCGGAAATTAAAATTTAGTACTTCTAATTTATTTTTATATATACTTTTAGTTGATGGAGCTTGGTCATCCTGGGTAACTTTAGAACCTTGTACAGGATCATGTGGAAATGGGTACAAAAAAGGATTCGTTCTTGCAATAATCCTCAACAATCAAATTGTGGAGCAGATTGTCCAGAAGAAAATAATGATTACATTTCCTGTTCACCATCTGCAAGCCGGGGTAACACGATCTTCCTTTATTTATTTTATATTATGATATATATATATATATATATATATATATATATATATATATAGATTGCCTAACAATGTAATTTTAACACACTATTTAGTATGTAAATATAAGAATGTTTAAAATATTTACAAAATGATGAAAATAAACGCAATATTTCGCTAGACTAACTAGCTTTATCAAGCGTGCATCTATCAGGTGAAATCGGATGTAGATGATAAGAAACTTTTGCAGCTCAATGTATATGTTGCACTTGAATTAAGCTGCCTTGAAAATAATACATAATTTGGATGAAGTTCAAGATTTTTACAAAATTGGTAGTTGAAGTTAGCAACGTCCATTGGCCAATATTACAGGATAAAAAAGGCCGATGCTGTGTACTAAATTATTCTTTATCTTTCCTGTATGTTTTCTCATCTTTTTCGTTAAGACCATCAGGTTCTAAAGTGTGGAGTTGGTGGATCCAAAAATTTTCTCTTCTCCTTCTCGCCGTGGTGTCCCACTCGGTGTTGACTTCTATGATTTGGAAGGTAACATTATCAAAAGAATGTTTCGTTTGTGAGAGGACAGTTTTTGTTGGAGCCGAATATTAAATTTGTTCATTGTTTCTCCCACATACTGAATGCCACATGTGTCACATGTTAATATATACATTGAGTTCTCCGTTTTACAGTTGGAATTTGAGTAGATGGTATAATTTTGTTTAGTAACGGAGCTGATGAAAGAACTGCTTGTATTGGCAGCTTTACAACACAAGCAGTGCCTTCGACCACATTGTTTGTAGCAACCGGAAGATGGAGTAGGCTGCTTTGCTAATACAGATGTCACTAATTTGTCACGGATGTTTTTAGGTCTTCTGAAGGCCATGACTGGTGGTGAGGAAAATACTTTTTTAAGATTTGAATCATTTTCTATAATTTTCCAATGCTTCTGAACAATGGAAGACACATTTTTAAAATCAGGATGGTAAGTGAGTACAAGGGGTGTTCTGTTAGCTGCTTTATTCTTATCTTTGTACTCTAGAAGTTCTTGGCGACTAGTTTTGTTTGCTCTTTCGAAAGCGCTATCAATGATGTTGTTATTGTATCCTCGAACAACTAGATGTTTACGTAGTTGTCCAAGTCTAGCATTTTGCGTATTTTCAGTAGAGCATATTCTCTTGATTCGCAATGCCTGGCTGAATGGGATGCCACGGGAGCAGTGTTTAGGATGGCAACTTTTAGGAGAAAGGAATTGATGTTTGTCCGTTTGTTTGGTATGAAGGTCCGTTATAATGGTTCCGTTCTTGATGTAACTCGTAGTGTCGAGGAAGTTTATTTTCTCCATAGATGATTCATATGTAAATTTTATTGAATGGTGGAAAGAGTTACAGTGTCCTAGAAATTCATTAAGATGTTCTTGTGAATCTGTCCATTTGAAATCAATATCGTCAATGAATCGGAACCATGATAAGGGCTGGTATGGAGCACTAGCCAAGAGGCGTTTTCCAAGTTGGCCCATAAATATGTTGGCTTATGACGGGGCCATTTTTGTGCCCATACTAGTACCGTCTATCTGGAGATAATGTTTTTCATTGAAAGAGAAGTTGTTGTTCTCTAGCACTAGTTTCAGAAATGTAACAAGGCACTCAGTTAGAGGATTTTTTCACTACGAGTGTTCCATACCTCTTCACACGCTGCTATTCCTTCGTCTTGTGGAATGTTGGTATATAAAGAAGACACGTCAATGGATGCAAGATACAAGTATCTTGCATCCATAGACGTGTCTTCTTGCATCAATGGACGTGTCTTCCGATTCATTGACGATAGTAAATAGTGTGTTAAAATTACATTGTTAGGCAATCTATAATTTTATTTGTGTAATTGAATTAATCTCTGTACTGATTAATCCACACTCCCATAGATTTGTATGTCATGTGCTGCTATTTATAGGCACTTATATATATATATATTGTAATGAATAATTCTTTTTAGTGAATGAATAGTTTCATTCATAGATATTACGTTATGTTAGTTTAAGAAAATTGAAGCTGATGTATGTATGTTATGTGTATGCTGTGTACAAGTTATCATATACAAAAAAAATTGTACAAATTATAATTTGTATTTTGACTTTGTACAAATTGTAATTTGTACAAAAAGTGCTTGTAATTTGTACAATATTTGACTAAAATTCACTTATAACTTGTACAATTATTTATATTATGGATTATGTTATAACAAAATTCGTAAGGGGTTCCGCGGAACCCTGTGTCTCGCCTGCAATTGCCTCTGTCAGTGTAAAAGTGTAATGTTGACTTAAAAAGTGAGTCGATTTATCAGTAAAATACAGAATTAAAAAAAAATAAAAAAATTGACAAAGTTATTAATGTCTAAAAAATCTTAAACAACAGACTGAACCTAAATGATGACGCCGCCGACGCCGACGACGGAATTCAGGATCGCTGTGTATTGCTTTTGCGAAATAAATTTCGCAGGCTCGACAAAAAGCATTGATACAATAAACCTTATTTACAAAATACAAAAATACCCAGATAGAGACAGGAAATGTAATTGAAACATGCATGGCAGTTTATTCTGATAGAAAAATAGAAATTGGCTCCAGTGAGTGTTTGTACATATATT